CTTAGTTGCATATCCACTCCTGTTCTGCAGTGAGGCTGGAGCATCTCTCCCCTGCCAATAGGCATGGTGCTAAACTCAGCATCTTAACTGCAAGATACTGATGACACATGGGGGTAACAGGCTGCCTCCTTGCTCTGTGCTGTATCTGGTCCTCACAACAGCCTCCTATAATCATAAGCACCACATCTGCGGGCAGCTTTCCCTTCACCAAACTACATACATAGCCCCCTAGGATATCCAAAGCCCTAGGAAGGTTCCTAGCATGGTTTCAGATTCACTTTATCCCCTGGAACATGCTGCCATGACACCTTTCCTTACAGCTTTCTAGAGAACTCCATCAACACATCAGCATTGAGAAAGAACTTTTTCTTTATTCAGGGGGTGTTTCTGAGACCCTCTGACACACTCTTTCAATCTAGATCTTAGTTTAAATTCATGGTGGTTGTGGTGGTGGTGATGGTAGTAGTGTTGGGGTGGTGGTGATGGGATGGTAGTGCTGGTGGTGGTGGTGGTGGTGGTGGTGGTGGTGGTGGTGGTGGTGGTGGTGGTGGTGGTGGTGGTGGTGGTGGTGGTGGTGGCTGGGTGATGGTGGTGCTTGTGGTATAGTGTTGGGGTAGTGATGGTGTGGTGATGGTGGTGGTGGTGTTAGGGTGGTGGTGGGGTATTGGGGTGGTGGTGTTGATGGTGGGGGAGTGGAGGGTGGAGGGGAGTGGCAGGCCTTAGATTTGTTTCCTCTTACATTCTCTGACACATACTTGAAAACAGTGGCCATATTTTCTATTTACTGTATTCTTTACTATTTTACTTCCCAGTAGATAATTTCTTTATTACTCTAATCTTCTACTATTCCTAATGGCATTATATTAACTTCTCCCTGGTGAAGTGTATGTGGTCTCTATTTCATGGTTGGACCTTGGGGGATACAAAGAACATTAAGAATAGTTTCTTGGTATTTGGTCTGAGCAAATCGGTAAAATATGGTGCCAATTTCTGAGATGAGCAAAGCCAGAGGAGGGAAGGAATCAAGTGTTCTGCTCTGGTTACTAGACTGAAACTTCCTATGAGTATCAGTGGTGGTTTCAAATTGACTGCTCTGTGTTTGTGGCTAGAATTCAGGATAGGAGATAAGGCAAGAGCTATAACTTGGAAAAATTAGTGTATAGTTAACATTTATTGTGTGCTGTCTCTTCTGGAAGCAGCAGGAAGATTACTAAGGTCTGAGTCCCTTGTCACTCTAAACTTTAAAAACAGGGTAGAAATTGAAACTAAATAACTCAGGTGATACAAGAAAAAAGGACTTAAGAACAAGAGCTTCTAAGAACTAATGGAAGTATTTCAGTGAAAGAGACCATTCATTTTATCATTGCTTTATTTGAAATTAATATGAAGACTCATAGTTAACCACCAGATTTGTAAACTGATGTCATCAGAAACACTGACAAATCCTGCCATGGAGTAGAGTGTCCAATAACTGTGGAAGTGGGCCAAAGAACTGATGGATGGTGAGGAACTAGACGTAGAAGGCACAGCAGTTTTGGAACTTTTGTTATACAAATCAGTGAGCCAACACCAAGTGCACAGAATAACTACATGCCATGGATTACTCCAGCATCTTTTATACACATGTTGAAATTCAAAAACGGGGGAGGGGTGGTAAAATACTGCTCCAGGAAACTGATAAGAAGCACTTGGAGTGATAAAACAATGGAGGTGTTGGTGTAACTTTCATAATTTTGTGGTTTCACTTTTTAAAGCATTTTCACTTTAAAAGAATGATCTACATTGATCTTTTGAAGTTGTGTCTTATATTTACGTAGACAAGATGATTGTATTTCTTGAAAGTGTCATAGTAGAGAGATGTATTTACATCATGCGCTATAGCTGTTTGGTGATTTTCATTTAATTTAATTAATCTGGAACAAATGTGTGAAAGCTGCATATTCAGTAGCTCTACTCCTTGCCAAGCTGGATGTTGTCTGAGACATCCCTTCTGTGACCCCACTCACAGCACAGCTCACATCAAGCATGGTTTCACCCTGTCAGACCTTTTAAAGAACAGTCAAACATTCCATGCCAGCTGGAACAAGCCACACTTTGACAGGCATAGTATTTTTAATCTTTTAATATTGACAAGAGGCATACTTTATTTTTAAAATGAAATACATCGCAAGTTTATTATTCTGAAGCAGTTCAGCATATGCTCCATCTTTTAATGTGTAAACATTAAATGATATCCAATCTCAAATACCATTGGCAGGTTTTCTAAAGCAGCATGTCAGCAGGGATGATGTTGCCAACAGCAACAGCAGACACAGGCTCTTTTTATCTCCACTGAATCCTAAGATTGGATAAAGGGTATCAAGGCCAAAGACTTCTTTTCTAAATAACTGACTGACATCATCAACACAATTATCAGTCTGTAGCTCTTTCCACAATCACTATCTCACAGGTCACATAACTATAATCTCATAAGTATTATTTGTGACACAAATACAGTGAAGTATAAAAATATATTTTACAAGATGGCATCCAATGTATTTCACCTTAAGAAAGACGCTCTGCATAGTTATCGTATTTCTCAGTATCCTCAATATACAAGGCAAACTCTCACTGCAAATCTCATCTCCAGATCCATGGGCTACTTAGAAGTTCATTCTCATTGGATAGAGGAGGTTTGTATACAAGGACCAATCAGCTTCTCAACCCGAGTCATACTAGATGCACAGAGCTGTCCACTAAACAGGACACTATTAATAACCTTAAACAAGAAGCCAGAGGCCTCGCAGAGTTTTCTACAGTCCTGGCTGCTGACACCGATAACTGTCAGTCAGCTTCCTGCCTTGACAAGAAGTTGCTAAGAAGCCACTGAGAAGCATGTTAACGGTCAAAAAAGCAGTTGGTATTGAGTCATGTGAGCTAACATAATGGTAAAGGAAAGCACTTTGAAATGAATTCTATGTGACAGAAGGAAACAGTGGGCAGGATTTGTTAGTTTTGAACTACTCATAAAATTCCAAATATATTTCTGATAGAAAAGAAGTTTAAAGCCAAAATTATATCAGTAGTTTATGATAAAATTTGAGATGGCAAAAGAGGGCAATGTTATGAAACTAAACATGTAATAAACATTCCTGAAAGGACTGATGACCAAAGGGATTAAGACTGGGCTGGTTTAACCCCCAGAAACAGCTGACCTGACAAAGGTTAACTCTTGAATCCCAGGCATCAGCCTGGGAATCCAGCATGGGACTGATCAAGACCCCCTGAATGTGGGTGTCAGTGAGGAGGCCTAGGTAATCTATTGAGCCTTGGGCAGCAGATCAGTACCCATCCCGAGTATACACACGGACTTTGGACTCCCATCCAACAATGTGAGGTGCACTCTCACCCTGAACTCTTGGGGAAGAGTCTAGGCCCTGCACTATATGAAATGACAGACTATGGACACCCCCATGGAGGGCCTCACCCTCCCTGGGGAAATGAGGGGATAATAGGGGGTTTGGGGGAAGGGCACGGGAGGAGGGGAGGGAAAGGGAGAGGGCCCTGGAACTGACTTGTGAAGCAACCTTGTTTCTTATCTAAATTTAAACTGAAAAATAAATTTTAAAAAAATCAGAAAATTAAAAAAACATTCCTGAAAGCTAAAATTTTGATGATGGTTCCAAATGGAGGGGAAGATAATTCAGAGATGTATCTGGCTCTTTTCTGGTTCTTACTTATATAGACAAGGAGCAGCATGGTTAAGGAGTGGGAGAGTGCAGAACACAAGGAACCAGCAGTGTGGTTAGCGGTGGGGGAGGGGTGCAGAAGACAAGTGTGAGAGGTGGAACACCATGGAGCTAGCTTTTCTGATACAAGAATTATGGAAGAACTGTTTTCCCCAGACTTGATGCTTAGTGCACAATACTTTTAAAGGAATGTGTATTGGCCAGCACTTTGCCTCCTGCAAAGATGACTGGTGAGGAAGTAGAGTTGGCCTTATAATGGAGATTTCTTCTGAGGTCAAGAGGAGAGTGTCCGGGAAATATCTCCATTAACATGCATGTTTGCAGAGTTTGTAAATATATTTTTCATCAAAGTCCAACAAGTATTAATTTCCCCACCTTCCACTCCAACTGTTCATTCTGTGGCCTGTACACTATGAAAGAACACAGTTAATTCTTTTCTAATTATTTTTCTTTTACTGATGAATACTCCACTGTCATGGATTTAATGTTATTTTTTCCTCTGTCTTTAGAATTTAAATCATGTTCAGATATAAAACTGCTACTGTTTACTTGCCTTATGCTCAAAAAACCCTTGGCAGAGAGACTATAGCCTTTGTGCAGATGTACTCTGTTTATGCTTTAACTTTCTCCATGTACTCAGCTCTTGTATGTGAAAGTTTCTGTTATGTATATCAAAATTCCTAATCATTAACAACTAGCCTTGAAAACCATAGACTATCAACTTGTCACCTGTTTGCAGTGTAAGGTTCATTGCCAAGAAGAATGTTCTTTGTGATTTTAGAAAGGAAATAGACAGATCAGGGGATATGGCGGATAAACATATTGTCATGAAACGTGTTTTATGTACAGAACTGGACATCATGCAAGGCTCTCTGGGCTTACCTGAACTTGAGAGTCTGTAGGCCTGCAAAATATGGGCAGAAGCACTTCTAAGAGGCAAGTGTATATACTGATATTTACTTTTAAAACAATGTTCTTCTAAGAATAAAAGAGACCACTTGACTCCTCTAGATTTTAAGCAACTCTTTTCTTCATCCAGGAATAAAATGATTATTCTTCTCTAAAGTGACTGGTCAAATGGGCACTAGCCACACTTTATACTAACACCATTCCTTCTGTAAGTGCTATGGTTCAGAGAGAGAGAGAGAGAGAGAGAGAGAGAGAGAGAGAGAGAGAGAGAGAGAGAGAGAGAGAGAGAGAGAGATCATTTATTGCTAATAACATGAAATACTAGGATATACTTAAAACAAGCAACATTCCCCATCATCTTACCTTTGTTAGAAGTATCTTCCTTGTGTGTTCCTCTGACTACCCTCCACATCAGCCTTTCACATGTAGCTTCACATTTGCACCAAACCACTGAACAAGATTCTTCTAAGCCCTCCTGCCTTTATATTGAGGTTCTCTATTTTAACAAACAGTTGCCTCTACTCAGATTCCCCTGCTGTCTGATACATGCAATCCCCTTGTAGGATTGGATTCCTTGGCATTATCAAGATAGTCAGATTACCCTGCTGTCTGATACATTCAATACCCTTGTAGGATTGGCTTCGTTGGCATTATCAAGATAGTGCCTTTTACCATGGAACTTTCCTCACCATCTATTTCCAGAATGTTCAATGAGCCCCTGTCACAAGGAAGGGTTCTTTATTCTAGAGTGTCAGTAGGTGGGACAATCTCTTCCCTCATCTTATTAGAGGTGAGCAAAAATTATTCAATCTAAAATGACACAAATGTTCCTTTCACTGACTTAGACCCAAAAGCTGATGACATCCAGTTTCCTGACACTCGCCTTAAAAAAAACTGACATCGTATCCAGGGTTACAGATATAATGGCAGTTTCCGGGAGAGGAATCTTGGAAAGCAGATGTGTTTTGTAGACCTCTTGGTTTACTCCATACAAAACTCATTCCATTTCAAGTTAACGGAGTGGCTTTCTCTCTAATTCAATGACCCTTTCACAAGAAAATTAAGTAAAGAACAACTGCTGACTAGGATGCCAGAAGCAATTGTTCTATGTCTACCTGCATCTCAACCATTTTCTTGTCTTTGGGTCTAGAATCTATTGGACATTGGTTGTAAGTCAATCTGGCAGTGATGATAGAGAAAGGCCTTTTACTTATCAACAAAGGATACACAAATATGTACTTGTCATTTTCCTATAAATCACATTTAGCAGACAGAAGAAATATGAAGGATTTTATCAACTCAAGGGGAGTATTCCTAAGATATTAGCAATTTTTCTATGGTCCTGCTGTTCACACAGACAGACTCACCTTTACATATGACCCTGTTCTTCATAGATCAGTGATTCTCAACTCTTAGACAAAAACAAGCCTTGCTTTGTATCTATCACAATATTAAGCAACACTTTCCCATTCTCAAATGGAGTTTGAAGATATAAATTTCATAACTTTCCTGAGCTAAAATATAATAAATTTAAGAAAAATACATTTTTTTCTGGGCACTAACAAGAGAGACAAAAATGAAGCAATCTGATATTGGCATTTCTATATAATTCCCACCTGAACAAAACAACTAAAATATAATTTATGGTAATATTGTGCTGTACTTTAATGTCATAAATGGTCTTGCTTGTTAATCATGTGATTTAAAAAATAATAACTGTTAGTGATGTTCTGAGGAAACCAGAACAAAATCTTTCAGTTACATACATGATAATTGCAGTTTCAAAAAAGTTTGAGTACATACCATGCTTGTATTTCTGTGATTGGGCTACCTCACCCAGGGTATTTTCTTCCAGTTCCATCCATTTGCCTTCAAATTTCAAGCATGGTATGTACTCACTCATATATGGATATTAGACATAGAGCAACGGACTACCAGCCTACAATCTACACCACCAGAGAAAGTAGGAAACAAGGAGGACCCCAAGAGAAAAACACATGGTACCTTGAAGAAGGGAAAAGGGACAAGAACTCCTGAGCAAAATGGTAGCACGGGGGTGGGGGGTGGTGTGGTAGGAAAAGAAGAAGTGGAGAAGAGGAAGGGGGAGGAGAACAAGAGGGATCAGAGACAGGAGGAATAGAGGAGAGCAAGAAAGGAGATACCTGGATAGCGGGAACCAGAATAGGTTTAAAGTGAGGTCTGGCGCTAAGGAAATGTTCAGGAATCCACACGGATGACCCACTAGGCAGTAGGGGAGAGGCTGTCTTTGATATCCTTCCCCTGTATTGAGACTGATGACTACATTAGTTGCCATCCTAGAGCCGTCATCCAGTAGCTGATCGAAGAAAAAGCAGGCACCCACAGCTAAGCACTAAGCCACACTCCTGGAATCCAGTTGTAGAGAGGAAGGAGGGATGAGCAAAGGAGCCAAGACCATGCTAGAGAAGCCCACAGAAACAGTTGACCTGACCTAGTGAGGGCACTGAGACCCTAGTCGTAAAACTGGGGAACCAGCATTGGACCGAATCAAGACCTCTGAATGTGGGTGCCAGCTAGGAGGCCTGCACTGTCTATGGGACCTCTAGCAGTGGAGTCAATATATATACCTAGTGCACAAATGGAATTTGGGAGCCCATTCCCTAGGGAGGGATACTACTGCAGCCCAAATACAGGGAGTAGGACCTAATCCCCCAAATTATGTGACAGACTTTGATGATTCCTGGTGGAAGGCTTCACTATCCTTGGGGAGTGGGTGGGAGTGGGTTGGGGGGGCCACTGCAGGGACATGGAAGGATGGGAGGGAGAGGGAACTGGGATTGATATGTAAAATAAGATTGTTTCTAAAATAAAAAATTGTTAAATTGGATCAAAAGTACTATGTACTTATGAAAGTTGAATATACCCATCGACTCCAATAATTGTCCATATATATTCCACTTCCTATAAGTCTGGAAGATTATTTAAATACATAGCAAGATGAGATGACTCCTTTTAATGCAAATCTCACCACCAGATCATACTAATAGTCCTTATAATGGTAACTTCTAAAGTGACCTTTGACATGTCACTTCCCATTGACATGTAGCATCCATTTTTATATCAACTAAATCAAAAGACATGCAACTTGAAAACTTTTCATTTATTCTGTGAAACCTGGTCAATAAGGTATTATAATTACAGAATGCTGCATTTCTATATTCTAGATAACACTTCTATATATAGGCCCATAGGAGTATATGGGCATCTTATAATATTGAGAAATGCATAACTGCTTTGTGTCAGCATATCTAAAGTCCAGAAGATACAATGCAAGGTTTAAAGTCATAAGAAGCAAGCCTTTACCCATAAGAAGAAACTCTCTCAAGTAAAACTTATTTTAAATATTTCATTCTATCTTTATTTTCTTACATACTTTGTGGATGTTGCAAATTTTCTTAAAACGTTATTGGTATTAGTAATGGTCTTACAGACTTTATGAGTAAAAATGAGGACAAAAACTTAGAAAATAAATGGGAACAGAAAACAAGTAATAAACAAAAGTAATGTTTTTTTAAAGTGATGGGATGGGGAGCTAAAATTTTAAAGAGACAAAGTTATAAAGTTTGCAATGTGTTGCTACATTCTTTTTCTTTAGATGAGTTGCTATGAGTTGTCCCTCAGAAGAAATTGGGATCTATGAAACAGCAGCAAGTAAGGAAAAACCTTTTAGGTGTGAGGATGCTCCTTCTGGGAAGAAGAGCTCTTGTGACCCACCTGTTCTTCTACTCACACCACTAATGACTTGAGGCTTCTGAAGCCTTAAATATGAACAGGGATAAGTTCCCTGAAAACTTTAAGATCATGAAACTGAGAAAGACAGAAGCACAAATAAGAGGAAAAGGCAAAAAGAAAACAAAGTCAATTAAGTAAAAAGCATAAACCTGTACGTGAACTCAATCATGAATTGTTCTTTAAATAAAAGTTTAATGCAGTTTAATATACCATATATCACAAGTTATGACCCAAATTGCTAAGCAATCCTAAGAATTTGGCAAAGACATACATAAGGTTAATATTTTAAAGGATGGAATGGTATTACTTTTCAACATATTTATTCATCCATTTTCAAATGTTTTCTAAGACTCTTTTAATGCAACCTAATCTCATATATTCTAAATTAAGGATTATTCCATATTGGTCCCCCAAAGTTCTTTTTGCCCAAAAATATAGGTTATGTTTATTTAAAAACATATGCTTTTAAGAGTAGAGTGTAACTTAAAGACTACAGTATAACTTCTTATTTTTCAAGTGGGGAAAATGCATTAACTGTGGACTAAAACATATAAAAATTCTTTCAAAAACCAGGAAAGGATAAAAGGTTAATTATCCTGTATTGCTGTTCATTTCACTGTGAGCAGGACACTGGCTAGTAGCATTCTGTAAGTTAGACATTCACCATTACTCAGGCATCTTAATAAGGTTAGAAAGAATTTTCACAGTGTGATTGATGATGGTTTATTACCCATGTCCTTAAACACAACCTGTAGAAGGTCAAGGCTAGGAAAGCTCATTAGAGCAGAGGTACAGGCATTTCCTCCAAAGTTTAAGATGATACAGAGAAGTGTCTTCCTTCTCCACTTTCCTGGTGCTTTTTGTTTTGTTTTGTTTTTGTTTTTTGGTCAGGGTATGTGTGTTGACTGTGCCATCTTGTCTGGTAAAATAAGCAGAGTTTATTTGTTTGCAGCTGTTTGATGACTACGATTAGCCTTCAGAAGGTGAAGTGGAGTGAAAATAAATCTTCATCTAACTGCAGCCCAAAGCCTGGGGGATAGGGGAACAATGTTTCAAGCCCAGGAAATCACCATACCCTAATAAAACTCCAACATCCAGTAGACCCACACTTTCTGGATGGACGAAGAAAACAGTGTGTTTTGGAAAATAATACAATATTGTGGTTCTATGTAGGTTTACCACAACTCATCTTTGCATGAACATCTTTTACAAACGACAGGGAACACTTAGATACTTTTTAGTCCTTTACTTTGTCATAGTCAAGGCAAGGTTTTGATCAAGTAATGCAAAATTATTCTTACCTCCCTTGTTTATTCTCTTTCCCAACAGGAAGAAATGAATACTATAGTCTTGGCTAACGGCATAAAAGGCAATTCCACAGGTCAATAATCTTTTGCTTAACCCAATGACTTCCTCCAAGGACAAAGAGCAGCAAATCATAGCAGCTGATTGCTGTTGTACTTAAGAAGATTTCGTTGTAAAATGCAACATTGTTTTTGCATTTCTTGGAATGTGCCACTACGTACAAGTAATAAATCCTGAAGAACTGATAGGGAAGAAAACAAATAAGGATTATGCCTATAAAGAACAAGTTTTTCAGCTGAGCCCAGAACTCCTGGTGGGATAGCAAGGAATGGCGAAGCTTCCGCACCATGGACAATGTGATGAAGACTTGGAAACCCAAGAGAATCATTGCAATGGCTATGACAATAATTACTATCATATAGTTGACAATTTGTACATAATCACGGGCAAGTTCTTTATGAAATCTAAAGCAGTGTTGATCATTGTATTCTTCATTATTTCCATACTGAGAAACCACCAGGGGCACCACAATGACAATCACTAAAAGCCACATAGCAGTACTGGCAGCAACTGCATGCAGTTTTCTATAGAATTCTACTTTGTCTCTGCGCTTGAAGAAGATGAGGTACCTGATGACCAGTATCACCACATAGAAGAGGAAGGTGAGGTACATGTGTATATGCAACATGGCACTCACAAATTTGCAGAAGGGCAGTCCAAATGTCCAAGTCCCCTTGATGAGGTATGCCAAGCGGAAAGGCACAGTCAGCAGAAATAACCCATGGACCACCACCAGGTTAATGACTGCCATGGTGGTCACTGAACGTGAGTTCATTTTCACCAGCAAGAACAGGATGGAGATGACACCTGCCAGTCCTCCGATAAGTACTATGAAGTAAAGCGGGATTAAATGGTGTGCCAGTATAGGTTCACAAGAGGAATTCTCGGAAGTATTCTGTCTGTCCATTTTTCAAACATTGCCTGCAAAAGCAAGAACACCAATGTACCTGGTCATACTCCCAGACCTTGGTTTACAGCTCCTCCAGTACACTGGGAAGGTGGCTCTTTAGTTTATCTGCCTTCATGGCATTACACTTTATAAGCTTTAAGAATAAAGATAATACTGTCTGCATATTTATAGTCTCTATACCTAAAACACAAAGCCATTTCATTAGTCTGTTTGGTATTGTAACACGATACCACAGACTGAGTTTAGAAGTAGGTTCATTTTGGCTCACAGTTCTGAAAGTTCATGGTCAAGGGGCCTCACTTGATGTCCTTCTTTCTGAGAGAGTTGTAGGGAGGTGACAGAACATGGGGAATGTGAATGTATCTTTTCTAATCTCTCACCTTCTTTTCACAAAGGTATCAGGATTTAGACATGAAGATTCTCCCCCCAGAGACACAGTTGAAAGCTGACTAGCTGGTGAAGCAATGCAAAGTATTTTTAGCATGGTTCTGTTTCTCTAAGTCCTTCCAAGTAATTATAAAATGATCCAAGGATATTCATACTTAACTCCTTGAGAATGCTGATTAATTTGACCAAAGCTCAGGGATATCAAAGCAGGACAAAGCTATACAACACTTATCTGCTTTTCTCATGACAGTTTTCACAGTATCTTCTATGAGACCGTGGGTGAGTTCTTTCCGTGAAGTATGACATGCCTCACAAGTTTCTCATCTTGTATCTTCATGTGTGTTGTAAATGTAAAAGGTCCACTCATACTGCGTCCTTGGACTCCTGAAAATCCCTCTTTATGAGAACCTAGTTCTCTGCAATCGATTCTCTAAATTCTTATTTTTATTATTTCTTTTATATTATGTGCATGAGAGTTTTGCCTGCATCTATGTATGTGCACCACATGACTACTTGGAGATCAGAAGAGGATGTCAGACCCTCCGGAACTGGAGTCCCAGATGGGCACTGGGACTTGAACTTGGGTCCTCTTGAAGAACAGCCCATGTTCTTCTTAACTGCTAAGTCTTTTCTCCAGCCCTCCATATTCTTCATTCATTGTCAGTAAGAACTTTTAAATCTTTGAATTTCACTACACACATCATATCCAATTTCCTTTTTAAATTTTCAGTGGTCTCTCATCTCAAAAGATCAATAATATCCTTAAATCCAGTATGAAATTCTCAATGATTTAATGAAAACCTATTCTTAAAAATCCAGAAAGCCCTCTTGCCTGCTTACTTTGATTTGTTTCCTTACGGGGGTTATGACAGGGGTGAGGTAAGGATATGGGGGGACTGGGAGTTGAACAGAATTGGGCTGCATGATGTGAAACTCTCAAAGAGTTAATAAAGAAGTTTTAAAAATCCAGAATGTCCTGGATTACAGTGTCCGATTTTGCTGGTTAAAAGGGAAAAAAAGAATGTTATAAGCTTAGGAATATGGCTTTAACAGTTATATAATAATGATAACATCTAAGATATTTGTTTACTGACATTAGGAAAACTGGAACTGAGCAGAAACGTAACTGAATTATTCGCTGGATACCTGACATTTGTAACACACTTGCAATTGTTCTGAATGCTTTTCCAAACACCTCTCCATACAATGTATTCTCACCCAAATTATAAACCAATTATTAAACCAAATGATGTACACAATGCTGATGAATCTGAAAAGGCTGCATATAAATCATGTGTATTCTCAGTGAGACGATGGTGCTTCTAAAGATACAGAAATAATAAATGAAGTATAAAAATATTTATCAATTAGGGAAATGTGTACAGTGACTAACCAGACACACAGATATACTAAATTTTCAGAGGGACAGGGAAGACAATTAGTAAAACAATCTCTAAAAATATTTTTCTATGGAAATGACAATTTATAAAAAGTTGAGAAACTAATAATATGAAATGCCATAAAGGCTGTATATTATATGAATTCTTTTCCAGAAAATTCAAAACTAATGTGAGACAAAACAGATACATGCATCCCAACTTGTAGGAGAAGAAGTGACCTTTAAAGAGGTATTTAGAATACTGGGACAATGGAGAAATGATACCATCATTGAACTATGCACTTAAATGACCAATGCCCATGTATTTCCTTCACCTCCAGAAAAATATAATGACAGCCTAACCCCAAAAAGCCTGCTTTTGTGAGCAAAAGAACACAGCTTCAGAGAGCTGTGGCCCACTTAACCGTATTTCCCTGAATTTCTGAAAAGTTGGCTGTGTTATATTGTGTGATCTCCCTACTTGCCTTCACTTTGTCTCTGTAAAAGTGCAGTTCTGTCAAGTAGAAATGCTCTTGTTTTCATCTGAGTCAAGCATATATATGCTGCCAATGCTTCTTCTCACAATTTCTTCAGCTATTAGTCTAGTATGACTGCTCCTGAAAGAAAAGAGTAAAGTTAGTGGTGTGTCATTCAAATCAATCTCTTTATAAATTTCCATGATGACTGCCTTTCAAATATCAGAAGCATACATTAAATGATTCCCGTGTGCCAGGACTACAGTATATTTAGTGATTTACTCTCACAGTATGCTCACAGCTGCATAATACATTGTTACCTGGAATTTAAGGTGATAACACAACCTTTTGGTACTCTCTGTCTCTCCATAAGCAGGAGAGGGTGCATGAACAAATAACCTATAGAGTGGTTCTCTCTGCACATGCTCACTCTTCTTTGCTTCCTTCACTGTTACAGATTTTCTGAAGCTATAGTTCCTGAATGTGACTGCTGCTGGGGACAAGAATTGGGCAATAATGGATGCCAGTATGCAAAAGCATTAGTTCACTAAGTAACATGGCAGTGGCATGATCCATTTATGCTGGCAGACTTCTGGTATTCAGTACTATAAGTTCTGGATCTCAGTTATCAATGTGACATGTCAAAAATCCATCATAAATTTTATTGATTGTAAACGGAGTAAAGCAAAGTGAAAAATGGTCAAATTAAAAGAGGAGGTTTTTAGGATGAGTTATAAGGAATTCAGCTCTACAGTATTTACAATTGTCAATCTTTAAATATAAGAGTCGATATAAACATTGTGGTGTGTTTATATATTCACTGTGAAATGCTGTCTTCCTTTCTTTTTGTTTTGGAAACAAAACAAAGTAGAAAAAAGTTTTTATTGTCAACTTGACACAATCTAGAGACACCTGGGATGAGTCAACATCAGTTGAGGCCTTGCTCAGTTCAGATTGTCATGTGGCCATGTCTATGAGAGACTGCCTTGAATAATGTAGGGGGGCCCAGGCTACTGTTGATAGTACCATCCCTAAAGAGGTGTTCTGGGCTGTATAAGAAACTAAGAAACCTAGTTGGGTATGAGCCAGCAAGCAGTATTACTCAATAGTATATGCTTCAAGTCTCTGACCGACTTAAGTTTCTGCCCTGACATCCCTTAGTGATACACTATAACTTGTAAGATTAAATAAGCCCTTCCTCTCCCAAGTTGCTTTTGGTTTGTGTTTTATCATAGTAACAGGAAAGCAAACTATGACAGAGGCTATGCTATCCATAGACTCATGATTCTTAACCTCAGCTTGCTGAGGTTCCGGGCTTGCATCACCAAACCTGACTCTGTATCCAATGATTCTAATAATAATTTTTAAAAATCCATCTTTTCTGATATTCTTGAGCCAATTTTGCTTTACAGCAGTTCTGTAGGTTGCAACCCCTGAGGTGAGGGCACATATCAGATACCCTGATTATTGGATATTTACAGTGTGACTCGTAACAGTAGCAAAGTTAGAGTTATGAAGTAGCAATGAAATAATTTCATGGTTTGGGGTCACCACAACATGAGAAACTGTATTAAAGTGCAAGACCAGGCTGGAGAAACCCACAGAAACAGCTGACCTGAACAAGGGGGAGCTCATGGACCCCAGACTGATAGCTGAGAAACCAGCGTAGGACTGACCCAGACCCCCTGAACATGGGTGTCAGTTAGGAGGCCTGGGCAATCTATGGGGCCTCTGGTAGTGGATCAGTATTTATCCCTAGTATACGGATGGATTTTGGGAGCCCATATCACACAGAGAGATTATCTGTCAGCCTAGACATATGGGGGAGGGCCTAGACCCTGCTCCAAATGATATGACAAGACTTTGAAGAATACCCATGGAAGACCTCACCCTCCCTGGGGAGCAGATAGGGGATGGAACAGGGGGTTGGTGTGGAGCAGGAGAGAAGGGGAGAGAGAGGGAACTGGGATTGACAAGTAAAACAAGATTATTTCTAATTTAAATTTAAACAGGAAAATTGAGAATCACTTTTTTCATTTTCTTTACTTATAAGCTTAAGGATTCTTAGATCTAAAGTATGTCTTCTTAGACAAAAAAAATTGTTTGTTTCTTCTCTTATAGTACTATAAATTCAGAGTATTCTGATTCTATTTATACCTTCCTTCCATACTATTGTTTTCATTAATTTTAAGTCTATGTATGCTTTATTATCTCAGAATAGAAAACCTTAATACATGGCTTGTAGAAGTTTTTAGTGAAAGCATGCAAAATGGACCCTGTCAGCAAAGTCACAACAGCACAATGGTATTAGCTATGAGGTTTACGGTTCCCATTCGGGTTCAAGGAATCAAGCTTTTCCATCTACTACAACTAAATGAAGTTAGATTAGCTAGACAGTATATTCTAAAGAAGTGGTTAGCAGATTTTAACCATCACAACAACATAATAACAATGTGAGAAATGTGCTGATAAGATTAAAATAAGCTACCATTCTAATTTTTTAGTTATTTATTTGTTATTTAAATTAGAAGCAAGCTTGCTTCACATGTCAATCCCAGCTTCCTCTCCCTCCCCTCTTCTTCCACTCCCCCACAAACTCTCCCAACCCCCCACCCAATCTCCACTCCACTCTCCAGGGAGAGTGAGGCACTTCATGGGGGATCTCCAAAGTCTGTCATATCATCCAGGGCAGGGCCTAAGCCCTCCCCTATGTGTCCACGCTGAGAAAGCATACCTCTAACTACCATTCTACTTAA